AATTAACTGTACCTATTTAGTGTGTATTGCTTGAAAAAGGGTATGCATTTAGCTAGTCGTTGACCAATATCACTCCTAACGTATTTGAGAAATCAGTATGGAGGGTTTAAAGGCGGGATTAGAAATAATGAAATCTTAATGCGATCGTAGTGAGTGGTGAATTAGTGCCAGCTAGCGTAGTTCAAAAGAATATGTCTAGTAAATTGTGGTAGTTGCTCGAAAGAGAATTACGATACCCGAAGTACTCATGATCGGTAGAGAATAATTAGGCAAAATTATAGAAGACGTAGCGGGAAGGATTCCGACAATTGAAGAAATTATAACTCTAGACCTCCTTAATTTAATCTCTAACTCTTAGTATCTTCAGTTGTTATACTACTTTAATTTGTTAGTTAATTAGTTAGACATAAGAATTAATATTTATAACTTAGGAATTGTTCGAGCTTGTATTCTTGGTGATAATAAACAGTTGTAGCTAAACCTTAGTTCTCCATGTGATTCGACTCCGGGCTCTTAGACCGAATTATATTTGCAGCGACCGCTTATCCTTTTTAGGACTAGAGTTGAGTATGATCAAACAAACATAAATCATGCCAATCTGGTAGAGTTTGTGAACAGCAACAATATAAGTATAGTAAATATAACATAAAGTTTACTGATTCGGTAGAGAAATCCCTAAAAAACTGCGCGGATCCTGAGGTTATTTTTAAATACATTTAAAAACAAAAATGCTATTTAAATACCAATCCTTTATAGGGGTATTCTTGCCAATCACCCAAAATGGAGATGAATATATTAGGGCAGAGCCAACTACTGTAAATTGAATCCCCATTATTGAGAAATTAAATTGCGTAAATAAGGTATAATTAAATTATTTTTTGTATATATATAGACTGTTGAATTCCGTTGATGCGAGAGAAACTTCTAGTATAGAGGTAAACATGGTTTAAAATCATTTTGAGTCATAGGTTCAAATCTCAAATGTGTCATTTTTTTTTATGGATCCCTTTGCTAGAATTCAATATTTATTATACTATTTATAAGGGATAATCCAAGTTTTGCTTCATAATACTAACTTCTCTTATAGTTTACGATGTTAAGCTTATCTCTCTTATCTTATTTTTTATAGCAGTTTCTTAACCCTATTTTTTTTGTTAATGCTAAAAATTACAATTTAATTAATATACTCTTTTTAATATTAAACTCTTCTAATTAATTAATTAATTTTATTTAAAAACTTCTTTAGCAAATCAAATTGAAGAGAATATTTTGCTCATTTTGAAAAATAGAGGACCTTTTTGTTTTGTGACCCATTATAAATTTGTATTTGTTATGAATAGAATTTTATTTATGGTGAATGTCTATATTTAGAGAGATTCTAGGGTTTATTACTTGGTGGCTAAGTCACCCTCTCCCTATAAATAGAGGGTTCTATTCCATTGTAATTCATCCCAAATCAATAAGAATTCTCTCTCCCTACTTTTCTCTCCAATACTCTTCTTCTTTTATTGTTTTATAACACGTTATCAGCACGAGACTCTAACCAATTGAGTAGAAGCTTTGGGATTGAGCATAATAATTGTCAATAGTTCTATGAACTCCCTTCATGATTAAATTTTGGATTTAAGGTAAGTATTTTACTGTATTTTTCTCTTTTATTCTATACTTTGATTTTATATACAAGCAAAGACAACAAAGTTTGATTATAACTCTAATGGAGTTTGTAAGAAATTACAACCACCTGAAGTGGTAAAATTTCTATGCCTTGCCATGATGAAATTCATGTATGATTGTGGGCAAACTATTGAAAACACGTCCCATTGAATTTGCTCCATTCTCATTCCCTTAAGAGAGTGTGATAGCAGTATGTGATAAGTCTGAAAGAAGACAAAATTATTACTATGAATGTATCAATGGATATGGACGTGGCAATAGACGAAATTATAATCGTCATCATTTGTGGTAATGAGAACAATAAGGATTCTCAAAATAATCTTTCACTCTGTGAAAAATATTTGTCATCAATTTGACATGATATTTTGTAAAGCACATATAGATGATTATGGTCCATTCATGATGTGAATGTGACAACATTTGATTTATGAATACATATTCATTCTTCAAAGAATATGAATGTGCTAGTGGTAGTGAATATACCGCACTCACCTCTAAAAGGAGGTTTGAGATGATATAAGAAAATAATGTCATTATTATGGCATGAATGGTCATTGGTCACGTACCTATTGTACGCCAAAATATTTTGGCATTGTGATTTTAAAAGACAACGGTAATGCAAGAAACGGATCTTGCATATAATTTTGACCATGACCATAATGGTATAACTTTCTCCTTAAAAGAGATATTCACCATATAGGTGTTGATGAATATGTGGTACTACAAAATTAATTGAGAACTCTGCAAGAGCCAATTATACTATTTTAGAGAAACACAATTAATTACCAATAAGGTATTGTGTTGTAGTAAGTCTCAAAGAAACTTATTCAGTTTCCAAAGTATACGCGAAAGCGGTTGATTATATTGAGACTATAAATAAAGGAAAGATTTAATATCTTCTATTACTACAACTTGTAGCGGGGTAATATATATGTGAAAAGCTACCCGGAATTATTCTCCAATTTGTACTACATAAACAAAAGAATATCACATTGAAGTAGATATTTATTGATATAAAAACTCATATCATAATAAACTTGGAGTTTATTGATAATTGCACACGTCATGGTGTAAATCTGAAGTTTATCAATATTGATAATTTATTCAGTTGGCATAATTGATTTACCCATATCAATTTAAGTATGATGTGCAAAAATAAAAGAGAATTCGCATAGGTAAATATTAAAGAACTAGAAAGTTCTTTACGAATTCTCTTATGTTGGTTGTTCTCATTAATTAATATACCAACTAAAATTGGGATTGAATCCCATGAATGCTGGAAATATCAAAGGTGAATATGGGCCCATTCACCTGCCATGTCTACCACATAAGATGCATATATGAGATGGTTACACGTGCGATTATTAATAACCCGCAACATGGTGTTTGCGAGGTAACTTGCTCAATAATTTAATTTCGAGCATAATTTCCAGATTTTCTATTCAAGATAGTTTATCTTGATAAGTTGGTTTACATCACAGTTGGTTTAGCAAAATGATTTATTGAGTGCCTCCACTTAATAGCTAAACTATTGCTTATGAGAACAAAGTTATCTATATCTGTTTTTTTGATATAGGTTATATACGAAAGTATATTACATTCCCCCCTCACAAGTGGTTCAGGGTCAGGAACCAAATAATTCCATCTTATTATTATTGATGTGCGGTGTATATTTTGATTAACACCATAACGCACAAAGATGAGTTCTCAAAGTTGAGGAAACAAGTTAGTTTTCTAACATGAGGGGGAGACATGATAAACAGTTGAGAAAAAGTTACGAGGAATGAATTATCATTTGTACATCTAGATCCTCGAATAAGATAATATGAACTTGAAGTTCAGAAAAGGATAATTCATTTGCAATATATTGCAAAGCATGCCAGACGCATTTGCTGACCCAAAGAAAGTAACTATATTCTCATTGCAAATGCTCCTGTTAAGTCCCAGAAGGACAAAGTCTATGGTACGCTTGAAGCGTATAGACAAATCGGTTTCAAATAAACTTCTTGACAAAGAAGATGAGCAAATGATCTAAATGATCATAATAAAGGAGGCAAGTGATCTAGAAGATCACATGACATAACACTTCATAAAATCTCATGAGAGATTCAGGTACCTGAAAATATGAATGAAGAGATCTCTATGTTATGTCTTTATGAAAAATTATTGAAACTGATATAAAATGTTTGTCGATAACATCTATGATAACGCTAAATATATATGAGCATCTTAAGTCTAGAGAAACAGTTCAAGTAGAATTGGTTTCATATGAAAGACATGTAGTTTTGGAACTGCAGTTCAAACACTTGAAAGTATAAAGTCAATGGTATGTGCAATCAGTTTTCGATATCTTATATGTCTAGCATGACATGAAAACTTGATATGCATCTAAAGTCTATTATATGACTCCTTGAAGGATTTAAATTGCTTAAAGCATATAGAATTCATGGCCATGAAGTACTATATCCTAAATGCAATTTGTGCATATGTATCTTGCTATAACTATAAGCATGATAATATGATAGCAAGAGTTTTCACCTCTATGTGAAGATATTGAACTGACGACTTCAACAAGATCATATGAGGACAATTCATCTCTATCAAGAATGATGATTTCAAGGTGCAATATATTCATTCAAGTTAATATAGCTGATTTGTTCATCAAATCTCTACCAAAGATCTTTTGAAGATGGTGCACAAGATTGGAATGCAAATGCTCAAGGATGTGAATTGATGCTCTCATCAGGGGGAGTTAATACGCGTTGTACTCTTTTTCCCTTACAAGGTTTTGTCCCACTGGGTTTTCCTTGCAAGGTTTTTAACGAGGCAACCAAAAGGCGTATTGTTAGATATGTGTACTCTTTTCCTTCTCTAGAGTTTTTTTCCCACTGGGTTTTATTTTAGTTAAGGTTTTAACGAGGCACATTATCTGTTGAATAGACATTCAAGGGGGAGTGTTATAAATAGAATTTTATTTATGGTGAATGTCTATATTTAGAGAGATTCTAGGGTTTATTACTTGGTGGCTAAGTCACCCTCCCCCTATAAATAAAGGGTTCTATTCCATTGTAATTTATCCCAAATCAATAAGAATTCTCTCTCCCTACTTTTCTCTCCAATACTCTTCTTCTTTTATTATTTTATAACAGTATTTAATTTTATGATCCTATCTCTCTTTTTTTTTTAGATACGGGAGATTTGCTTTTATACATAACATCTATCTTTTAAAAAAGACATTCTCTTAAATTCAAAAAAGGCATGAAGGCTAAAACCCCGTGCCATTTGCTCATTTTCCAATAAATAAACCCTTTTAAAAGCGGCAATGGGGTTTTAGAGTGTTGTTCAGTGGGAGTAGTGTGGCACACAGCAGAGCGAACTAAGGAAGCGGGAAAGCCATGGCCTTTTCTTCACTGCGTTCAACCTCTTCTTCTGTGTTGAACAGAGTCCGATTTTGCCAGCGCTCTTTCTCTGCCAAGCCCTCTTCTTCTTCTTCTTCCTCCCGGGCAGTCAAAGACAAAGACAGAGAGAAAATGATGTCTGATTCCGACAGGGAAACGCCGGAGTACGATGTCCCAACTTCAGGAATCAGCCGACCACTTTCTGAGATACTCAAAGAGCTGAACAAGAAGGTCCCTGATTCCCTCATCAAGTTTCGCCACGAACCTAATGGCTTCTCCCTCAAATATATCCCCTGGTCAGTGGCCTTCTTTTTTCTTTCTCATTTACGGTAGGTTCTTTTATTTTTAGAATGTTTATCAGAATCTGCTCTGCGCTATACTAGTGTTTGTTTGATTTTGAGGGGAAATTTTTTGTTTGCTCGCGCTTACCTTTTGCATTTATTAGTTGTATCGAACTCGTTTTTTTTTTTTTTTGGGGGGGGGGGGGGGGAGGGGGTGTTTATGGTTTTGGTTGAGGGTTATTGATGACATATCTTGCATAATTCAGGTCCAACATTTGCTTGAACTTGTCTAAATTCTGTATTTTTGTTTCAAATTTAGTGTTCTTTGATGGATAGGTCTGGCAAAAGGCTTGTAGGGTTTTCTTTTTTATAACCTGAGAGGCCAATGACACACGGTTCAAAAAAACAAGCTATTTCTGTGGCAAGGTTGGAACATGTGATGTGTTCCAAACCACAAATTTGACACCTCGTCCCTTAATTGTTTGCCTTAACCAGGAGCTTTCCCTTTTATACCACTTTGCCTGTGATCACATAGAGGAGCGCAAAATCTTGTAGGATTACTCACTTGAAATTTCTAGTTTGACTCTATTGGTTGACACCACGTCCCTTATTTGTTTGCCTTAACCAGGAGCTTTCCCTTTTATACCACTTTGCCTGTGATCACATAGAGGAGCGCAAAATCTTGTAGGATTACTCACTTGAAATTTCTAGTTTGACTCTATTGGTTGACACCGCGTCCCTTATTTGTTTGCCTTAACCAGGAGCTTTCACTTTTATACCACTTTGCCTGTGATCACATAGAGCACCCTTCGGCAGAGAATATCCAGAATAGATTCCTTGTCCTATAAATTAACTTTGATAACCAAATATTTAAGTTAGGCATTTTCTTGGTGACACATTTTTCTGTTCGATTATAAGCTGCATTGTTTTACGTTAATTAATGCAAAACAAAAAAGAACTGGAGATAAATTTGTGTTTATGCAATGTATTGTCTGTTCGATTTGTCAACTGCCTCCTCTAGTTTAGAGGAACTATGATAGTGCAGCTCCTGCTGAAAGGAGCTAAATTCAACTCTTATGAAAACATATGAGCTTCCAACCAAAGGCAATGGGTGGAGCTGCCCAAGACCTTTGATCTCTTTGTAAGCCTTTGCTTGATCCTTGTGGGACTATTAATAACTCAAAAATCCTTGCGAATATTCTTCGAAAAAGTTAACTCAATAATTCTGTCTTTTTTCACCTTTGAGTATGTTTTCACAAACATTAAACAGAATTTACGGAATGACCTTTCAATTCAGATTGTTCTATGTTCTTCAAAGCACAGTCAACCGTCAATACAATCTGGCAGAGACTTGTTTGATCTGCTAGTTGGACATTTTGAGTGTGTTTGTCTTGGCAATAAATAATTTACGAAGAAAGTTGTTAGCTTTAATGATGCCATTTTCCTGCATTTGTCTACATTGATTTATTAATAACTTTTTTCCCAAGGAAAATATTTCCTCCAAAAGGAGAAAATTACTTTTATTAAGGAAGGAAATTATTTTCCTTTGCAGACATCCCAAAATTTACTTTTCAACATTAACTTCAATCAACCCTTAGAAATTATTGTCAAATTAAACTAAAAAATATCACCATAATACTAGCATTTTATCATGTATAACTCTTTATACGATTACTATATGTTACTATATACTTTTATACTTAACCAAACAGGGAAATGGACCTTAGAATGATTTCCCAAAATAAAATATTTTCTATGAAATACGTTGTCCTTCATACCAAATGCACCCAAAGCATCAATCTTGGGTGGTCAACTTTGTTTCACCAAGATTTCTGCCTGGTAAACTTTATAGCTCAGTTGATTTTGAAACATGTGGACATAAGTGCATCTGTTATATTGTAAAGTGGTGCATTTTTTTTTTCTTTATATATATATGTGAGCCTTCAATTGTTTCTTGACCTGACAAGTTAACACTTTGCTAGAATATGTGTTCTATTGTTTCTTTTGCTTTTTACGATATAAAGAAAACTAGCTTACTTTTTGTGACTTTTGAATCTTTGCAGGCATATTGTGAATAGGATTCTGAATTTACATGCTCCAGGTATGTCAAATATCTTTCTGTTTTTTCCTTTTTCTGAGAATGAAACTATTTTTAATTTAGTCAGCCAGTTGACAATCAAATTTGTTGACAAATTAGAATGGTCTGGCGAAGTTCGAAGCATCAATTACTCATCTGATGGCAAGTCAGTTTCAGTTGTTTACCGTGTAACACTATATGGGACTGATGCAGAGGTATTGTTGTCTTTGTTACTTATGCTTCAGAACTTGTTTCTATAATCAAGATGTTTTTTTGTGTAGTCATAAGTAGCTGCTGTATATATTATTTTTGTAATCTTTTTCTGAGGCAAATCTATGTGATCAATTAGTTTTTCCAATGCCGTTGTTTATGGGGTGATGCCTTTTAACTTGAGAAGACCTACCTAAAAAGCCGCAGATAGACCATGTAACAAACTTTAAAGCGAAAGAAAAGTCCAGTGATTCTCATAAAGTTCCGCTTTTAAGGACTTCATTAGATGTATTAGCAGATAATTCTTTTCTTTTTCGTTAAGTGATATTTAAGTTGTTTTTAGCAGACAACTTTTTTAGGGTTAAGCAAGAACCCTAGAAAAGCCTTCTTAAATACGATAACCAATCAATGATGTAATGCAATATGTCCAGAATGTTCGGAGCAGATTACCTTCTTAAATATTCTTTTTGGTTTGAATCTAAGTTACTTTGGTTTCATCCATTGCATAATTGCTAATTTCATGTAAGCATAGAGTAGCTAATCTTACTTAACTACAAGGACACCTTTTTGGTTTGAATCTAAGCTACTTTGGTTTTGTCCATTGCATAATAGCTGATGCCCCTGTAAGCATAGAATAGCTAATCTTACTTGAGTACAAGGGAGCCCGGTGCTTATTATTTACTGCACTTCGTGTCTCAGTGGTATGGCACCTTTTACTTTGTTGTGATGTCCCTTTAATTTCAGCAGGCTTGTAGCTGATATGAAAATTGTGATTGTTTTTCTTGAATTCCATTTCTTCATCTATTGGGATATGGATGATAACAGGTGACATGTTATCCATGATGAAATACTTATAAGATGCCACTGCATGTAACAACTCCGCATCTTACCTATTGGAGAAAACCCCAACAAATAGATGCCTCAGTTCTGTACATTCAGCTGCTTGCTACCTAGTTTTCTGGCTTGCTTGTATTTCATTTACATCAGAGTTTTTAGATTATCAAAGAAGATGATAGAGTATATGATTTTAAGTTTCTTGCTCCATCTCTCTTTCTGTTTTGACTAGATATATCGGGAATCAACTGGCACTGCTTCAGTAGATGACCCAGGTTATGGGGATCCTGTGCAGAAGGCAGAAGGTATGGCATTTCGTCGAGCTTGTGCTCGTTTTGGGCTGGGACTTCATCTTTATCATGAGGACATGTCATAGACTGGGAGATCCAAGTTTCTTTTTGGCATCAGCAAAGATCCCAAGTTTCTTAGTGGTAATAGATATTACCAAGGAGGCAACTGTAATTAATTGTGCTTCTTGATGCTCCGTCGTATTGTAAGATTGCTGTATTATGTTGTTCCAAGCTGTCAAATTTTACCCATCAACTAATGACAGTAGGTATTAGTGTCTATATATCTGACCTGTTAAGGTGGAGGTTTTGATATTTCCTGCAAATGTTTTAGGCCTAAGAAGCTTTGTTTGTTACAAGTAGAGGGCGTAGGATCTTTTCTGGATCTTCATTTTGTAAAAGCCCAATGATGTTCTTTCAAGGTTCGCTTGGCCGTGGATAGTTGGTAGTTTACTTTATGTTCCTCCAACGCAGTTAGCTTATCTTTCACTAATGCTAACATATTTCTCAAAGTTAGGATCCACTAGTAGGTAGCGGTAGGAGAGATCCATTATGGTGGGATGGACCGTTCTTGAATTCTGGCCGGCATTTCTGTCAATCGGCGGAAGACCCACGCATACTGGGAGGGTACGACTTCAAGGGATGGACTGATTCCTGGCTCAATTTGTCCACCCATTTGAGAATGACAAGAGGTAGAAAATAACAGTTTAGTTCCCATTCTTCCCCGAAAGAACCCTCCAAAAGTGACGAAGGAACTTTGCATCTCTGTCACTCTAAGCAACTTTGCGTGCTCTCGTTTTGTGCTATATTGTGCAAAATCCAGTGTGTTGTGATACTTTGGTCGATGTAAACAATGATCTTGATGCATTTCTAGTATTTTTAATTGATTCTGCAGCATAAGATACTTCCAACTTTGATAACAGACCAAAAATGTGTATTTCATAAAGATCTAGAATTGAGATTTTAGGAGTTAAAAAGTTGTTTTACCTAGATGAATATGTTCATGTATCAAAAAGAAGAAAGAAAAAGAACAATCGTTGACGTCTTACTGTTACGTTAAGTCGATAATATAGCAATTACATTTGGAAATTGAACACTGGAAATACCATATTTTGTTACCCAATATCTGACCTAAAACATCAAAAGGAAAATTGGGATGACAAGTAAAGTACCAAACAAAAGAATACATAGTTCAGTGATTTAATTTCATATCTCCTTGTAGATTGTGAGACCTACATTTCAAATCCCAAAATCTATGTAACCCTGAGAGCTTGTTTCGTCCTTCCGTGTTTATTAAGCACTATCAGAGCAGCATTAAACAGATGAAACTATCAATTACAGAAGCAGCATATGAATGATTTGCGAATAAATAATTTTCCAGATGACCGCAAAAGGTGCACAAAAAACTCATCCCTATAGGTCTTTTAGATTGATACAAGCGGAATGCTAAGCTATATACTCGACGAGAGAAAGAAGGCAAGGAACATGGTCGTTACTTTCACTGAACTAGACCAAACTTGAATAGGAATTTCTTCTGATTACAATCCAGCATTTCACTCAGCGTACAGCTTATGTTCTTCTGCGTTACAAGTTTTTGCCTCGACTCTAATCTTTTCTTCAAGCTATGCCTAAAGTAGTCCGGATAATCAACGACTTCATCAAGTCGCCTCCCCATAACATCTATCAGAAACTTAAGCCTTGGCTCTAAAGAGTTGCTAACACTTTTAATCAGAACAGGAGGATAACAAGTGACCACAGCTGCAATCTGTCCAACTCCAAAACCCCGTGATGTCAAGTAAGATAGGTTAGGTTTCAGAATCTTGTTCACATCTCTACACAAAACTTCAGGGTAATTAACTACCACTTTCTGGAGATCCATATCTGTTAAACCTAGTGATTTCAAAAACTCTGAAGTAGGACGTAGCCGCTTATCAACGCTATAACCCATAATATATGGATTCTTCACTATAACTTTACCAATACCTTCCTTTGATAGATGAAGACTGGAAAGAAATTCCACCATCTGTGAAAGCTTATGTTCTATGCTGTAGCTTATAATCCTTGGATTCAGCAGTATCATCTTACCCAGTTGTTTGTCCGTTATACCAAGCGCTTCAAAGAAAGCAAGGAGTGGACAGAGCTTCTCTTCCACACTGTGAGAGAGTATGTGCGGAAATTTAGTAATGGCAGAAGCAACCTCCTTTGGTTTCGAACCAAGTGTTTCAAGACAGTGAACCATTGGGATAAGTTTCTCATGCAAGCCTAGAATAAGGATTTTGGGACATTTCCGAACAACAGAAGGAAGTTTCCTCTCTTGGATGCCTATGCTTCTCAAGTAGTCCCAGTTTTCAGACGCCTTTTCCCTTTGCACGCCCTCGAGGCGCTTGCACTTTTGGAACATTTCATGAATGCTTTTATCATCAAAACCTCTGTCTTTGAAGAACCACATAATGCCAGAACTATGGGTTGAAGTCTCCATATTTCCTGTGACATTATAAACAAATTCCAAATGTGTTAGAACAGATTTCTCGATAAATATCAAACACAGGAAGAACCTAGTGAAATGACAAACTAGAAGAAAACATCAGAATATTACGATGAAGACTGTAGGGAAGCAAAGTATTGACTATTACTTTCAACTTATATACAAAGAGTGGGAACAAATAAACCAGCTCCTAAGTCAGCTGTATTGTTATTCCGTCCTCATTCTGCTATGTGAAAAATCAATAAATCATTTTTTCCCTTTAGGGATTGTAAGATTCTTCCTATCTCAGCATTCAAATGATTCTTCCTATCTCCCTCCTTAGATCAGCAGACATAGTATATCAATTAAGCTGGGATCATGCTTCCGAAGGTAGTTGTTTACAAGATATTCCACCACACAGGTATTTTTCTGACTGAGAATATGAAAAGGAAAGCAAAGACCCAGGAAATCAACAGAAATTGAGATAGAACAAATTAAGGACATGTTAAATAGTTCATAAAATACAAACATAAAACACACCGATAACCTAATTAACATACAACGTTGTGATTATCCTGATATACTAGTAAGTGAGAACCAAAATGGCACCTTCAGAAATGACGTAGTGAGATCAAAAGATTAAAAGGGAATAGAGAAAAAGAACAAGAATACAACTGAAAAACAAAAACAGCTGAGCAAAGAAACATAACACATTGGCTGGTGAATAAGAATTTGTGACGGATGCAAATACAGCAGCAAATAAGTGAATCAATTATGATGTAAATACTCAGGTCCTCAGAAGGTGAATATAATTCACTGAGACCGTAAGCCAAACTGAAAAGTAGATAGATAAGGAACCAGCATCACTACTAAAAAGTCAGGTTTTAGCGACGGACAAATTCTGTAGCTAAACAGAAATATCCGTCGTTAATCTCATTTAGCGACGGATTAGCAACGGATTATCAAGAAATTCCGCTAGATACGAGCGTTTTAGCGACAGATTAGTGACGACGTTGGTAGCTAATTCCAGTTTTTTTTGTAGTGCATAGAGTGTCTGTTATCTAATAAACAATCAATTTTAATTGGGTCATCAAAGTAATTGTCTTTATCATCCATTTCATTGTCCAAATTCAGCATAAGTCTAGGTCACATTTTGTTGAGTGAAAAAGCTAAGCAATGGTAACATGGTACATTCTGGTGCCAAGTATCAGACAAAACTGGACACAATTCTGAACCATGATACAAATAATTGAACACCAACTAATTAAATTACGGAACAAAATCCAGAAATTACATACATTTAAACGTAATTAAGCTACTACACGTATTGTGCAGAAATTTAAGTCCAAATCACTTACAAAAAGAAGAAACTGAAATAAACAAAGAGGAAACGCCGAAACAAGGAGCCACAGCTTTTGGGGGCGTTATCCACATTTAGGGCACAAACACAAGAAAAAACACAGCAGAAGGGAAAGGAGAGTAGGACCTGAAGAGGAAGAGGCAACACTTGCTTTTCTACTCTACTGGCACTTCACAACTAAGCGAGAGGATAAGCTCCTGTACTGATGAGGGCATTTCTACAACATAGGGGTCAAACAAAATACACAAAAAAAGCCCCTCCTCTACTTTAAATTTATATTCAAACCCCTTTCAAGTTTCAAAAATGACACTTCAAGCCTATGCAGTCTTCCAAAATCAAAATAACCACACTTCCCTAATTTACCGTGAAATTATTTTGCTTGTTCTGTTTCTCCTGGAATAATGGTTTAATTCGAATTTTTAGGCAGTGACAGTAATAATATACTCCATTGGTTTTTTCTTTTTCTTTGAGAGGAATTCTCTTATATTAGAAGCAATAGTTGGGTGCCTGTGTCATCAACATGCCGGTTTGGTTGACGAGGCCAATGTATATTGGAATTTTTTGCTTGTACTCTGTCAAATTCTAATATAGTTTAAGATATACTTCCACAAAGACTGCATAATCTATACTACAGACTTCTAATATTTTAACTACTATTTAAGAGAATCAAATTGATGAAAAGTGAGTGAGGTTTAAAACTTGTTAATTACTTAAACAAAATAAATAATTTTTCGAAGATTTATAATTAAAAAAAGAGTTGAGAATCATTTAATTCACTTGATAATATTACTATAATAAAATCTCAATTTCTACATTTATTTCTTTAAAGAATAATTGCTTATTTCTAATACAATTATATTTTGCTCACTAGGAAATAACCAATTAATAACACTCCGTAAGAATTATGTTAATTAATCAACTTAAGACTAGTGACGTTTAAACTGAAATATTTTTCTTGCTTGAATTGTGCTAAAAGAAAGTAAAAACTTCGTACGAATATTTTTACTAGGGATCAATAATCTCGCCTACAACAATTCCTCCGTGAGAATTAAAACTGAGGCAAATTACTTTCACTCTACTATTTTATCCATCAGTTATTATATATTAATTTTGCTCCGCGAGAATTACAAAATTAATATATAAATAACTTAGAGATAAAATATATAGTCGTGATAATAGAGTAATTAAAAACCATCATTTCAGAACAGTATGAAATGTAGATAAAAAGTTTCAAGCCAAGAATATATAAAAACTGAGAAAGTATTATAAAATATATCAAGCTTCATCAATTATCCAAACTAAAAGAGATTACTCCATTATGGAATAAGAAAAGCTAAAAATGATATTTAGGAGACTAGAAATACTTAGAAGACTAAGGAAATATTTTTACTATAAAGAAAGAAGACCAATACTAGTTCTTGTCTTACAAAAGATTGGATATCCTTATACAAAGAGAGCTTGCTATTTATAGGAAAAGATGAGTAGCTTTTGTCATGTTCCACTTTTACGAATGTGAAATCCATGTATGCAAAGTGACCTTTGTGTACGTAGATTCTATATATGCAACTATGACACTTGTGCTTCACTCTTGACTTCATGAGTTAGTCTTGCAAATGTAGGTTCCATGTATGCGAATGTGATCGTTGCAAATATAGATTCCACGCATTCATCTATGACTCTTTTACTTCCATTCTTGGCTTCATGAGTTAGACTTGCAAATGTAGGTTCCATGTATGCAAATGTGACGTTTGCGTATATAGATTCCACATATGCATCTATAGCTCTTTTGCTTCCATTCATGACTTCATAAGTTAGACTTATAAATGTAGGTTCCATGTATGCAAATGTGACCTTGTGTATTTAGATTCCACATATGCAACTATGCTCCTTTTCATCTCTAATTGTCTCTTTCCATAAGCCCATATGTATATTCCACATTTGCGAATATGAAGATGATGTATGCAATTGTGGTTTTGCTTCAT